ATGTCGAATGATCCGACGGTATCATAACAGTGAAGAAGAAGAAGAAGAAGCCAAGATGGCGGGTTGAGAAGAAACTACGTGTGGGTGGTTGTGGGGGGATTATAAGCCCGCAATATGCGCCTTTAATTTTAACGACAGATGTAGAGTTAATTTCCCTCGCTTTAAGAAAGATTAAAAGATAAGGAAGATTTAAATATTATTATAATTATAATTTGTAATTTTCATATAAGTAACTTCAAAAATTCTATCGAAATTAAACAATTTCATAGATTTTTTGTTGCACTTTCAACGTACATTTGAAATTAAATAAGGATGTCTTTTAAATAAGGATTTCTATTAAAATTACCGTCATTACCGTTTCTTTTAAAATTTTATGCAGTTTTTCTTATTATAAAAGCTCTTCTCTTTTATCCGCTTAATAGTTCGTAAATTACTAGTATCTTAATATTAACGATCTGTCGATGTATTAATGTGAATATTTTGTAATGATAATAAGGAAATTGAAGAAAACAGATCAGCTGAATTGCAAAAACAAGACGCGTATTACAAAAATAGATAAAAATTATATTATTCGCTTATTATGTATACAAGCATGATCGTCATAGATATCGTTATCTACGAGGAAAATGACGCATTTCTCAATTATAGAAAGAAAAATGTACGAATAATATTGAGCTGGCATGATTTTATCTATTTAGAATCGCGTGAGCTGCATTATCTTATTAGTTGTTTTAGGAAATTCACACTTTAATTAAGAAAAATAATATTTATTATATTATTTAATTAGGCAATAATGTGGATTTGTGGATTTTTCAAATAAGAATCATTATTAATAAATATTTATTTTTTTGTAAGAGAAATAATATCTATGAAAATTCGCTGTATATGTTGTTTTTTTATAAAAAATGAAAGAGAACCTTCTTTATAAAAGGTAAAATTAAAATGGCATGTATTTGCATGCATTGCGAAAAAATTAGACAGTTTTCTGTGCATTATTCGCATGGGTTCATTAAAAGAAAAGTTTAAATCAATACAATATATATTGAAGAAAGAGATAAAGGGCAGTAACACAAAGGGTGAAGTGTAAAAATATTGATATATTTAATTTTAGTCTATTCATCCCGGTCTCAAACAGGAGGTGAATATTATTTCGCGAGAACAATACCCTGTTCCGTACATGTGACTGTCACGCTGCATAAACGACATTTATAATTTTCTCTTTGATAAATGTACAAATAAAATAATATCAAAGAAACTTTTTTTTTTATTTGATTATATTTTTCGTATGATATTCTATCTCTATATTCTAGCTCTAATTATTTCTTCGTAATCACAATCTTCTGTATTTTATTATTTTACTATTTCTTTTTTGTTACAAGCATACGACTACATCAAAATAATAATAATAATACATAAAATAAGACATCTTTATCTTAAGGTATAAAACGTAATAAATATAAATATAATTTTTATTAAATATTTGCAGATTTAGTGATTTTCCTAGTATCATTCTTTATATTCTTTGTTTCATTTTTAAAGACAGTTCCTCTCTTAATATTCTTTGCTTTAGTAAAAACCCCAACAATTTAATGTCATTGTGTCTATAATATCTATTGGAAAATTTCTTTGCATTCAATGTATTTTTGAGCATACAGACAGTCAATGCACAGAAAACTGTCTAAATTTAGGCCAGCCAGTCATCACAGAAACAACAAAGTTTTCCTATGCACGCGCAACTTTTGTTTGGCTATTGTAGCTGACGAAAATAAGAGCCGGTGCGTTTTCGAGCGCCAATATTAGGAATGGTTAAATATTTTCGTACGGGGCACGACTTCGTTGCTACCTGACTCGGTGTGTAATCACCGGTCACATATCCGCGCCTGCCGTATCACGCGCGTTCTCTACTCGCATTTGCTATACGGGAAACACGCCGAGTTGATTTTTGGCTTTCCGCGAATTTTACATACTTCGTCGCTCTTTGAAAATCGAGATTGATACAATCGCCGAAATGTTGAAGAAATTGCATATAAGTGTTACCTACAAGTGTTTTTCATATCTCTGCGTTAACGTAAATCAAATTTTTATTTCACAATTTTCAAATTTCTGTCTTTTTTCTGTTTCTGGACAATTTTTCAAACAAAAGAATAATTAAACTAACATTTTTTTATATATAATAGGCATTATTTATTTATTTATTTAGAAAATTATATTATATTATATTATATTATATTATTTATATTATTTATATTATTTATATTATATTATTTATATTTATATTATATTATATTATACTTTAAAGTTTTCTATCTTGTATCATAAATATAATAAACATCAAAATGCGATATAATTAATATTAGCCAACGTGATAAATATTTAATTTAGATTAAATGCATTGTTCTCAAAAAGGCTTTTACGTGTGTCTTTTTTCTGTTATTTAAATTTTATGATAAATACAATAGATTTATTTTGTCTTAATAAAAATTATAGATAAATATAATCATGTTCTTAAATTAAGCAAATAAAAATTTTTTATACAATGGTAAATATTGCCTAAAATTTAATCTAATCTAATAAAAATAAATCTTTAATTCTTTGTATTTTTTTCAAAAGACTTTTTTGATTAATTTCTAATCACTTACGAAAGTTGCATTCTTCAAAATATTATCTTCTCGACAGAAACAGCAGTAGAAACTGTTTAAAGAGAAAAGAGTAATCTTGTTGTGAAAAGAATTTCTGTTAAAAAGTAGAAATCTCTTAACAAAATAAAGGTAACTGGTATATTGTAAAAATTGTGATTGAATTTTCTAATTGAGGTAAGATAGAAAAAGGCTGCTTTTTGATTATAATTTCGAATTATTTGGCAAATTGCTTAAAAATATTCACAGTTTTAATATCATTAGAGATAGAAGCTAAATATATTTTTAAAGAAAAAGGCTTACATATTTTTTTAAAAAAGGATCTTTTTAAGAAATGGTATATTTTTTTATAAATATATTTTTAAACAATGTTGTTAAGAAATTTTGCTGTTGCAGTATGCAAGTAAAATTAGAATTAAAAATTATTGAAACAAAATGAATATTGATTAATTTCATCAAAGTGCAATTAAAAATTATCTATATGTTTATAAAGTAAGAGTAAAAATATTACTTATAAATATAATCATTATCTCATCCAATTTTTTTCTTTTGGCAATAATTTCTGAATTATCTTAAGTTGTTTGTATTTTGTACTTTAATAAGAAATATTGATATTACAATATTAGTTAATGATAATCATTATAACGGTTAATGGAAGAATCAGTATTTCTTTTGCAATCAGAGTGATACGCGACTAATCGCACTTACGAATGACGAGCAATGATGGACCTATAACCAAGGTCTAGATAAACTAGTGACGTGTATTGCGAGAATAGTAAGAGACTTATTAACGAATAAATCGGCCAAGGTGGATCTTGGGTCTTCCATACATCTGTACAAGGCGAAAGGAATAAAGACAATAAACTGGATACTGTTACGCAAATATGGGTTAATATGAGCTAAAAGAAGAATCTGTGCTATATACACAATTGTTAACGAATTGTATATTTTAATTTGATTTGATTTGGATTGTTTCATGCGACAATATGATTCAATTCACACACATATTAAAATAAAAAATTAAACATGACAAATTTTTTTATACCAAAATTTAATAGTGACTGAACAGACATTTTACTTTTTCTCATTGTAAGATATGCTTTTTATAATTTCACGATTTATATTAAAAATCAATGTAAATTGTATTCATTACTTAAAAGGAAGAATCTTAAAATCATCTAGTTGCTCTAACATTCATTTTAATTGTTCTAACATGTCAATATTATAGACAATTATCGATAAAAATATATAAAAACTTGATTTTTCTCAGAAAGGGCTAAATTATTGAATTGAATTATATTGTTGCTACTTAATTTTTTAAAAATTGCTGTTTGAATTAATTTACTTTAGCACTTTAATCGCGCGAACGAAATTCGTGAAAACAGAGACGACTTTTGGCCTCGAGATAAAATGACGATTTTATCTTATAGGAGGTCATCCAGGAATGATACCGGGCAGATATCGATTTTCATGAAACAGGAGACGGTGGACAGTCGACAGTGGAGTCAATCGCAGATGCTACCTCGTCCATTAAATACCGCCTTATATCACGCAGGCGATATAGGTCGCGCACGTGCAGCGGCACGCGTTCTGCGAATTTTCCGAGACCCATCGAGTCGAAAACCAGATGACGAAGTCTTGCGTCCGCCTACGCGAAGATCGAATTCTGTACAGGGTGTCACGGCGCGCTTCGTTTAGACTTACAAACTTCGGACTTCGGGTTTGGATCCACGGACTTTTCATTGATTTAGATTGATAATACTGAGTCGCGTAACAAAGATTATCTGAATATTTTTATTAACACAATATTGTCGAATTTTAGTATTTATTTTACATCTTAATCAACGTACTTTTTTAAGTTTTCGAAGCTCTCAAGCTATACAATTAAATTAAAAGGGCTATTGAGAGAAATTAAGCTCCCGACTTGTGTAAACATTCTTAATTTCGAAAGATTTTCAATGTGTATAAGATTGATTATTAAGATTAGATATTTAATATTAAAAATTAAAACTTGCTACAAAAGAAGTTTTTCTTCGTTATTTTTGTCAAAGAAAAATAGTTAAAAAAACCTCGAAATTAAGTCTCCCGTATATGAATTTTTTCAAATGGATATAACGTATTGTTCTATACAATAAAGATACTCGTAGTTATGTGATAGAATAACAAGTTCAATAAGAAACAATGACATAAAGTAAGTAGATAAATCAACAAATCGTTTTATTGTCTGGTCAAAGATATAAAAAAATGTTTACAAATTTATATTTCATAATCATCGAAAATTTTCTTGTTTTTTCTCTGATTTATCAATTTTCTTTCTTTCCCAATTAAGAGGAATGTCCGAGTTTGTTGTTGAGCAACGCTTACCTCTGAACGAATTTCGGACGAGAGTCATGCTCATATTCGCGGGAGCCGGTGCCTCGAGGGTTACGTCCGGCGGCTCCTCTTCCTCCTCTTCCTCCTCCTCCTCCTCCTCCAGCTCCGGCTTCGGCTCCTCGACGTCGCGGCCAGGTTCCGTTCTCCGGTGTGGGGGGCGTCAGCTCGATTTTCGCCTCACGACTACGAGTTCGTTGTCCATCGGCGTTCTAAGGCACAGCGGCGCATCAACATCGCTGCAATTTTTTCTTTTTTCTTCTCACGTCGCCTCTCTCTCCCGTACTTTCAACTTGAACTCTCGCTGCCCTCGCGATACCTCGTCGCGGTATGCGCATGCGGGGATCCACCGTTATCACTCCCTTGTCACTCGATCATCTATTCTCCCTTCGCCGCTATCACTACGGCCGTGCGACCTATCACGGCTCGAAACACAGACTGACAAGACGAATCGCTCGTCTCATCGTCGCGACGCGACTACGTGTGGACTCTGACGACGGCGACGATGACGTCGGGATGTCGCGACGTGATCGACAACCACGTCGACCGCGTACAGGAACAACGCACTACCGCTCGACGATCTACGATTAGCATCGGCAATGGACATCGAAAATAAACGCTGTCGATCACACCTGTCCCGCGACAGCTTAATCGACGACGACGATGACGACGACGATGATGACGACAACTCGAGGAGGAGGCACGCGGAATGTGGAGGAGAACGTGAAGGCTGTGTGCGCGAGAGAAGACGAGCGCGCGGCTCTTGACGGGACGGAGAGTTTCGAGCGACGAAATTGCGCCTTGTGTGCTCCGATCGGTTCCACGCTTCGTTTCCGGAAGGCTCGGAACGCTCGGAGGAACCGTGAATTCGCGATCGACGCGACGAAGACCGCGACGTGACGTGATGTGCGTGGCGCGGAGAAAATGCGGGTAAGCGGATGGGTGTGGGACGAGAGCGCTTTATTCGGCGAGGTCTCTCCCACGGGGATTCCTCCCCAGGTGAAGCCTCGCAGGGGATGGACGGTCCCGATGACTTGGAAACGTCAGTGTCGAACGCGTATCATTCGCGTCATATCTCTCTGGTGTTCCTCTTCTTTTTCCGTTCTCTCGTCGTCGCGACGCTCGTGATTTCGTGGTCGTTGTCGAGACGATGGACGGTTGGACGGCGGTCAACTACGCTTTGTAAATAATCATTGCACTCGCGTGCGCGGTATATCTCGCGGGATCACGCGGACGTGAAGAGAACGCCGAAAAGAAAGGGAGAGGAGAGAGAGAGAGAGAGGAGGGAAGGAAAGAAGAACAGAACGAAAAGAGGAAGGAAGAAGAAGAGAGAGAGAG